CACCTGTGTTTTATATCAAACACCTTGACTCAAAGTAGGTGCAGACACAGACACTCAGCAACATTGGACTTCATTCCACCTCCACTTCGAGGACAGATTGTGCAGCATAGTCATTTTAGTCTTTCCTTCTAAGACACTATTAATAATGATACCAGAGTACATTTCAACAATAGTCACCGGCACTAAGTCTGTATTGAAATGCCATCTCATCTAAATATGCAGATTAATCATACAGGCATCTTTTTTGTTGAGAGCATATCATAATGAAAGCCAGATGGTATCTAATTATGCCATTCACTTTCTGAGCGGAAGGCTACTGTTTGTTTTAAACATCCTGCTGCAGAAAACTATCAGTAGATGTGACTCATTACCTTTCTTACCTTGGCCAAATATCATGCCCAACAATTCCACCTGTGTAAGCTAGATCTCAACCTAGGTACAGGACAACTGCCCATCTCTGAAGCAGGCAGAAGTTGCTAGAGAGCGTGGGGACAGCCCAACATGCACACAGCCTGTGGTGTGCCCTCCCCAGCAGTCCTGAGAGAGGTCCTTGCACTGAGCAATCCAGTTTACACATTTGTCCAGGACGAAATCCCTAGACTGGGGGAAGTAGCCTGGCAACCCAAAGACAGACTTTTCACAGATTTATACTTTCATATAGCTTTTATTCCCCCAGTTCTCTGAGTAAAGTAAAAGCTACCCTCAGCAATTACCAGTCAGACTAAAACCTAGAAGCATTTATGCCCACGAGGCCCCATCATGTGCTCAGTCTTTCACCACAGTCACTATGGCTGACTGAAAAGCCATGCCTCAGAACAAAAGTGCCAGCCTCCTCAAAGAGTCCCCATCAGAGGAGGCACGGGGAGGCAGCGTGGGTGCCGTTTTCAGCAGTGCTTCTCCAGAGCCAGTTGAGAAATGGGAGCAGCCTAGAACAAGTGGTGCAATAAATGGAATTGGATACTGCAGACAGTGTGCTGCCTAATCCCCAGCCTACACATCTGTCCTGGCAGGTTTTTTAGGTCATAGGTATTTATTTCCCTTGTTATTATTCCTGAACTTTACCTGAAAAGCAACACAGTTAAACCAATTGAATTTTGCCCTACCACACTTCACTGCATTACACCACAAAATGTATTTGAATACAACGTGCATGGATTTCTGGAAAGAAAAACGTAAGACTTGCTTTACAGTAACATTTGTCCAGAACTGAAGAGGCACATTTGAAATCACTGGGTTTGAAAAGGCCAGCACAAGCAGTACTGCAGTGCAGCTGAAGGAAATAATATTTGCTTAGCAAAATGTTGAGTCCAGGATCTTGGCAGAAAGACCTTCTTTTCCTCAAATTGTCAGAGGTTTTTTAGAAATTAAATAAAGAGGTGATCTCTCAGCCAGCGAGCACCACTGACCACAGCTAATCAGACTAACACAAAACAGTTTGCTTCAGAGAATAATTTATGCTACCATATTTTCATGGTATTTTAGGAGTTCAGCAAGTTCTGAAGAGAGTAGTTCTTCACTCTGAGTAGCTGTTTGCTAACGCCAGGAGGTGGATTTTCCTCCTGCTGTTGACTCTCATACAAGCATTGGGACACGGTGAGTTTTTCCAGGCGGAGGTATCCAGTTGCCGTCTTGTTTGCTTATGCCAGTGTTTTGCGTAAGAGCTCCAATAAGGCTGATGCTTTTGGAAAGCAGCTGCAGCATTGTAGGAGTTCACCACTTACAGCTTAGCTCACCTATAAAAGCACAGGAAAACAACTCCTATGCCCTCAAATATTCAAGCAAATTGAAGCATTCAAACTGTATTATGGCTTTGCATTGCTAATAAGAATAACACCCTGATAAGCAACACCCCAAAGCTCAAAAGGGATCAAGTACCCCAAAATACAGAAAGACACTCTAAAATGAGGGGAGACGAAGAGGGAACACACCAAGCCTGTTTTCCATTTACTGTTAGTCATACTTAGTCCAGAGTCTTGCTAATGTAACTGAATAGGCACTTAACTCAGAGTTCCTAAAATAAAGAAGAAAATATTCAAGAAAAACATGAAGTTAGATTATTTACCAGAAAAACATAGGCAAAGTCCAACTGCCTTTCCCAGTCTTAGATTTGACCTTCAAATCAGGTTCACAACTCTTCTGCTGCTTTCAGCTGAAGGAGCAAGTCACCCTCTAGCATATAGGCCTATCATCAAAGTTCTGTAAGGAGACTTTCTCAGAAATAAGTCATTGTTTAATAAGCATTAAAAACAGCTCAGTTCTCTTTCAGCCAACCAAATATGCACCCTTCACCTCTTTAACTACCTGGCTAAATGAACCCAGCTGGAAACTTATTTTCCCATGACAGGAAGTGAGGACTTTCTCCAAGGACTTAACTCCTTCCCTGCCTGATGAAGGATGAGACTTTATAAGAACCTCTCTCTTATGCCAGTAACTGCACTATGCCCATTAGTCTGCAGAAGAAGAGGTTCAGGGAAGATCTCATTGGTGTGTATGAATAAAGAGGATGGAACCAGGCTCTCCTCAGGGGTATCAAATGAAAGGTCAAGAGGCAACAAGTGCAAACTGAAATACAGGAAATTCCATTTACACAGAAAGGAAAACTTTTTTACTGTTAGAGTGGTAAAACACCTGGAGTAGGGTCCCAAGCAGACTGTGGAGTCTCCATCCTCTAAGACACTCTAAACCCAACTGGACATGGTGCTAGGC